TTAAAACTAGAAATACTAATTCTAGTAAGGAAATATTTAAAACGTTAGTTTCCATCGTTTTTTGATGGAACAGACACTTTCTAGATCGCATATGTAGAAATGCGGTCCAGCCTGCATGAAACAATTTTTCTAAATAAAATATAGCTCCCACCTTCAAAAATTGGATTGGGTTCTTATTTCATTGTTTAAAGGGTGTGGTTTATAAAAGCGCCAACCTTAAATAGTTACATTAGGGTGTACGTGGAAACCATGTCGAAAGGTACAATTCTAGTGCTGAAAACCCCGGGCTAAGAATTTATTTCAACGTCTAATTACGAAAGGGTATGGTTTGTATAAGACCAAGGCCTAAAAAATTAAGGTGCAACTTCAAATAAGTGTTATCAATCTTTATAATGACTTGAAATTTTATTTTCATCTCCAATTATAAAATTTAAAGATTAAAATATAGTGTAGATCGAGCATATCTTGAAAATTAACGGTTTAGATAATGTATTACAAGATGCATAATTTCTAATAATTGAAAATCTGTTTTTTCTCATGTCCATACATATTGAGGTCAAGATGATTGAATTTGAGGGTTTTTTGTATTGAATTAAGCTCTTCTAGTAAAAATTTGAAGTGCGCCTTAACTTGATTGTTTAAAGCCTCACCCTTCTATAAGCTTTTTCTATTATGAAATTCAAACATCCAAAACTAGTGGAGGTTGAATGGATTTCTAAAGGCTTGAAAGTTTTGAAAATTGACAATCTACATTATGCAGCACTATTCAAAGACTTAGAAATCTTGTTTTTTCCTTCACATATATGCATCTTGAGCTCATAATCATAAATTGAAAGAATTTCCTGCATGAGGATAACCTTTTTGGGTATATGCTTTTGGGGTGCACGTATAATATACGGTCAGTACCTTATATAAATCATTTCTGTTAAAAAATATTATAATTACCAAAAGCTGCAGCCTTCTATCGTCTACCGTAATATTACTCCTGAGAGTTGCAAAATCCACACCATCAATTTGAAAAATATAGATTTTACATTGTTTTGTGAGAGCTTCAGTTGTCATCCAAACTCTCTAGTTATCGTCTTTCTTAAATGTGAGGTGGAATGTGTGGAGTGGTGTTTCGAAACCTAGTGTTGGGCTCACTCAATTAGGATCATTTTGGACGAATGCTGATGCGCGCAGTGGAATGTAAATATATGAGACGCAAATATTTCAATAACTGATGTGTGTATATAAGTGGGAAACATGCAATAAAATAAACAAACAAATAAATTTTATTGGCATCAAGATTTTATGTAGTTCACATTTTCAGGTTACGTCTACATGAGAAATAGATGAATCTACTATTAACTCAAATGTTACAATAGTCTTCCAAAAAACCAACTTTTTCGAGATCACCGATTTTGTTTAGAGACTTCTCTCTAAGATTTTTTTCGTTGATGTTCTTTTCTCTCTAAGAGACTTCTTGAGGTTTTTTCTCACTAAGGGCATGTTTATTTTTCTTAAAGAATTCTTTCATATTTTGAAAAAGTTTTTTGTTTGTTTCACACTTTTCATGAAAAGTTCAGAAACTAATCTTTCAACAAAAGTTATCATTCTTTTGTTAAAAAGTGCAAGGGGATAAAAACTTAATCTTAGGAGGTAGGAACTTAATCTTTTGGAAAATTTTTGTTGATCACTATTCACTATTCATATCTTTAATTATAAAATTTAAAGCTTCAAGAATAATGTAGATCAAGCAAATCTATGAAAATTTGAATAACTTAAAAATTGATGGTCCAAAAATGCATTACAAGATGTACTATTTCTAAAACTTGAAATCCATTTTTTCTCAAGTCCATGTATCTTGATGTCGAGATTATCAATTTGAAGATATTTGGGCATCAAAACAACCTATTCTAGTGAAAATTTTGAGGTAGGCTCTAATTTGATGGTTTAGAGCCTAGGCTATATATAAACTTTTCTCTTAACTATTAAAACGAGTAATTTTGAAATTTGACCCCTTGAACTATTGAAACCTCTTTTAATGGACATACAATGAGACCATTTACTTTTGGGGGCGGTTTGTATAGAGCCGAGGCTCTAAACAATCAAAGTAGAGCACACCTTCAAACAGTGTCAAGAAATGTGGTTTCAATACTGGAAATCTTTGTGATGGCCTTAAAATATATTTTTATATCTAATTATAAAATTTAAAGCTTAAAAAATGGTGTAGATTGAGCAGATCTATGAAAACTTGAAAATTGACAGTCCAAAAATATGTTACAAGATGCACTATTTCTAAAACTTGAAATTTATTTATTTTTCACATGTCCATGCATCTGGATGTCGAGATCATCAATTTGAGGATATTTGGGCATCAAAACAACCCCTTTTAGTGAAATTTTTGAGGTGGGCTCTAATTTGATTGTTTGGAGCCCCAGCTCGATGTAAATTTTTTCTTTAATTTTTTTGTACAAAGTGGTCATAATTAATCTTGACTATTGGATGTGAAATTGGTTGGCTGCATTTATTCCATTGATCAAGCTCAATATTCAAAAGAATTTTTTTTTAACTTTTTGACACACCAAGCTATTAAATTTCATATCAGATGGTTACAAGTGTACCAGAGGTAAAATGACGTGTATGCTCTCTCTTTCCTCTTTATTTTTTTATTTATTTTATTTTTTTATAGGAATTTTCAGTTGGCAAACTAGTCAATAGCAAGTAGAGTTTACAAAAGAGTAGGGTCTTCTAGAGTCGATCTTAAGACGTAGATTTGGATATAAATAATCCAAGTATATTGACCGCGTTAATCAATTAGAAGAAAAACTAATTTTCAGAATTAAATATTATCTATCTTTTTTTTGGAGGGTTCATTTCAATCAACTAAAGATAATCAAATCTGCATTATTTTTTATCTTCTAAGATGGAAATTTGCTTATGGTGACTTGACCAGCTATCATTGAACCCATTTATGGGAGGACATGAAATTTGCTTTGAAATATATTTTTTGTTGCATTATGGTCTTTTTTTTCCTTTTTTATGTTCCTTTGGGTTGGAAAAGTCAGTCCAGAATGTAGAAACATGGAGAGAATCCCAAAATCCAATGGAGTGTAATGGTAATGGGAATCAAATTATAAAGGCGCGTATAGCATCCTCTTCTGGGATCACATTGTGCATCTACTCCCTCAAGTAGAATACCTATAGATTTTCTACCTCTGGAAATTGGAAATATCCTTTAGAATTACCAATGATTATCTTCAAGAAAAAATTCAATATTGAGTTAAATATCATCATTCGAAAATTGGATACTCTTTCTTGGATCTTACGAACTTATTCTCCAGGTTTTTCAGTTGGTACCTAAGTTTAGGTCCCAAAAGTTTAGGTCACAAACAAGGTGGTACTCTACGTAGTCATTGTAGGATATGCCCGTAATTCAATGGGAATGACAAGCCCTTATCTGGTTTTTTCGAGTAGATTAGGAGTTAGTTTTTTTGAAGGTATTAGTGGGGTGATGTTACGTTT